GGTGGGGACAAAGGGAACCCCTATCCAAAAAAAAAAAAAAAAAAAAAAAAAAAAAAAAAGCCAGGCATGGTTACACACTTTTGTAATCCCAATGCTGGGGAAGTGGAGACAGTTGGATCCCAGGGATCACTGGCCAACAAACTGTTCACAGAGTGAGCATCAGGTCAATGAGAGACCCTGTTTCAAAAAACAAGGTGGACAGTATCTGAGGAACAACATGTAAGGTTGTTGTCTGTCCTCTATGCACAGGGGCACAACACATGCATTTGCACACATAATCACTCACATATACACACACCAAAAAATTTTATCTATAGGCACTTAACAAGTGCACAGAGATATATTCACCAATGCAAATGTGACTGTAATAGTAACTCTTGACATTAATCCAAAATGCGGAACAATAAGATTACTTATATATAATCTATATAATCTTTTTTTTTTTGTCTTTTTGAGGCAGGGTCTCCCTGTAGCCCCAGCTGTCCTGGAACTCACTATATAGACCAGGCTGGCCTTGAACCACAGAGATCCGCCTGCTTCTGCCTCCCAAGTGCTGGGACTACAGGCATGCGCCACCATGCCCGGCTATATAATCATTTTTTAAAAAGTTAATGAGACATATAGATAGAGGATATGGAGAATATGTTACATAAGAAACATAGTTGCATATTTAGAGAGACACACCCATAGGTGTGTGTTTACATACACTCAGACATCACTAAAAGTAACACAAGAAACTGGTTACCACGGTTGCCTCCAGGAAAGGAAACCTCATAACTAAGGTAAGGGTAGAAAAATTCACCTTATACTATATTTGTTTAACCTTTTAACTTTATTCTGCATAGTGATGTCATTTATTTAAAAAATAAGATTTAAAAACGATGCATAGCATAATTGCTATTTGTTTTGAGACAGGGCCTCAAGCAGCCCAACTGCAGGATGGCCTTGAGCTCCTGATCCTCCTGCCTTTACCTCCCAAGTGGCAGGATTTCAGACATGTGCCTCCACTCCCAAGAACATTTTTGAAAAATTTGTATGTCTAGAAATATCTTTCAGATTATGCCAGTTTAAGTGATCAGATTTAATGATGCTTAAAATTTTCATGTAGGGCTAACAAGATGACTCAGCAAGTAAAGGTACTTGCTGCACAAGCCTGGAAACCTGAGTTTGACCCTGGGACCCACATAAAGGGGGAAAGAGAGACTGACTCCACAAAGCCATCCTCTGGAAACATGCACACATGCACATACACAATAAAACTTAAAAAAAAAACCAATATTTTCATGAAATAAAAATAATAAATTTTTTTAAAAAAAGAAATAAGTGGGGGCTGGAGAGATGGCTCAGCAGTTAAGAGCACTGACTGCTCTTGCAGAGGACCTGGATTCGATTCCCAGCAACCACATGGTGGCTAACAACAGTCCATAACCAGGGGAATAAAGCCCTCTTCTGACCTCCGTGGCACTGCACGACACAGGTGTATTCACATACATGCAGGCAATACACTCATACACATAAAATAAAAATAATAAAGAAAAAAAATTTTTTTGGTCTTTTTGAGACAGGGTCTCCCTGTAGCCCCAGCTGTCCTGGAACTCACTATATAGACCAGGCTGGCCTTGAGAAAGATCCACCTGCCTCTGCCTCCCGAGTGCTGGGATTAAAGGCATGTGCCACCACGCCCGGCTATAAATAAAATATTTTTTAAAAAAGGAAATAAGTGAAAATTTCTGTGTGATAGAATTAAAATTTATTTATTAATCATGATGAATAACAACTACTATATTTCCTGGAAGTTTCATCAAAAATAAACTTAAAAAATAGCTAGCTGGACTTAAGACAAATCACCTTACCTAGCCAGTTGGATCTGGGGTTGAAAAATATTCATCTATACTTTTTTCACCCCAGAACAGCAGTCTGAGCAGATATGCAGCGGTAAGATAGGCTCATTCTAGAGGGAGCCACACTGTCACTCAGCCACTGGCAAGCAATTCTTCCTTCATTTGTTTTCTTTTGGAAGAGGATTGCGAAAAGGATGACGAGAAATCCAACAATCGTCCCTTATTCTCAGGGGATGTGTTCCCAGTCCCCCAGTGAATAGCTGAATCTTGAAAAGTACTGAACCCTATAAATACTTCCCTCTATATATACCTATCTGTCATAAAGTGGAGAACTAACCTTTCTACTTAAAGGACACAATTTATAACCCTCTGACCTAACCAAATTGCCAACATCACTACCCTTGCACTCTGTGGCCACTAGGAAGTAAAAGAAGGCTCACTTGAACACAACCACTGCCAAAACGTGGCAGTCTAACCGATAACCTGATAGCTATTAAGTGACTAATGTGCATGTAGAATGCACAGTACAGATGTGCTAGACATTGAGGTGACTTGTGGCACAGACATGATGGAGCAGGACCACATAAGGTATCATCTACCACTCAGTAAAGTATGTAACTCAGAGAGAATGTTCATTCTGACTTTCCATTTAATACTTTTCAGACTAGAGTTAGATGAAATTGCAGAAAGTGAAATGGGATAGGAAGGAGCAGCTATATAGAGAAAGCATGGAGAAAGCTAGAACACAGTTAGAACATAGTGGCTCAGTGACAGAGTCTATGCTTGGCATGGGTAAGGCCTGGAGTTCAATCCCTAGCTCTAAAAAGGAAGGAAAAGAAAAGAAAAAAAGAGCACAATAGTCTAGAGTTTTAAAAGGAACAGGATCCAACAGCAAACTGTGGCTGGTGGTTACTATAGTTTCCAGCTCTGTCTTTTTAAGAACTGACTCTCATTTCTGTTTTCTTTTCTTTCTTATTCTTTCCCACCTTCTGCTATCTCACCTATTCCTATCTTTCCCAATTTTGCCTAGTTTAAAAAAAAAAAAATGAAGATCTGACCTACATCTCAACAGTATGGACCTCTACTGTATTCTTCTACTATGGAATCTCCTCCTTCCAGGGAAAAGCTTTATCTCAATTTCAAAGCAATCTGCAACAGTCAGTATTCTAAAGTGACTGACGCACAGCCAAAAGTGGTTGGAAATCCTCTGACCTACTAAGAAAAAGAAAGAACTATAAAAAGGGCTATATCCACTTACCTCGAACCTGTTTTTTTATTTCTTTGGCAGAATCCAGCCATGTCTGCAAAAAGAAGAAAAGGCATTCATAGAGAGCTCCAGAGCACATAAACAACAGACTGCTGGAAGCAGGATCACTGGCTATCTTGGAAAAGTGCCTCCAGATTAACCTACATTTTCCCCTGGCGGCCTCTGCATTCATTTTACTAAGTAAGCATAGTGGTTTTTCAGCAGAGAAACAGGGAGCCAGAAATTGAGCTTGAATCCAAACCCCACTACATCCTGCCTGAGTAACTTTAGGATCTCTGTACCTCAGTTCCTTCATCTCTAAAATGAGATCTTTGTGTGGGTACCCATCTTACAGCATTGTTAATGTTTTAAAAGTTAATATATAAACCACTTTATAAAGAACAAATATAAAATAAGCCTATGCTATTTATATTATTAAAGACTAGTAAAGATCTAGAACCAGGATTAATTAACATCATCCAAATCTTATTTTTCTCTCCAACTGTTGGTCTTGTTCAAATTTTCTAAGCAAGTATTGCATCTGGTGCATGGTTCATGCCTAGTTAATGTTTACTGAATAAATATTTTATTCCTCTTGTTCACTCTGATCTTTCCTTTCAGTGTTCTTCCACTCTACTCAAGAGTCTATACATTAGCAGGACAGGGCTCCTCAACCTGTAATGTCCCCCGTTCTATAACAGCAGTTGAAAAAAGCTTTGCTATCAACATCTTTCACAGGCCTCTATGAGAAGTATTTAAAGACAAAATTTGCTAAATTTCTAGCCTTTTTTTTTCTTTTTTCTTTTTGAGACAGGGTCTCCCTGTAGCCCCAGCTGTCCTGCAACTCACTATGTAGACCAGGCTGGCCTCGAACTCACAAAGATCCACCTGCCTCTGCCTCCCAAGTGCTGGGATTAAAGGCGTGTGCCACTATGCCCGGCTAATTTCTAGCATTTTTAAAGATATATTTACTGGACATAGTAGCACACACCTTTAATTACAGCATTCAAAAGGTAGAATCAGGTAGGTATCTGTGGGTTTGAAGCCAGCCTGATCTATAATAGTGAATTCCAGGTCAGCTAGGGATACACAGTGAGAGCCTGTCTCAAAAAAAAAAAAAAAAATTGACTCTAATACACATACAGAAAAGCACATTGACTTGAGGTGAAGCTCATTGGTAGAATAAATGCATGCATGTACAAGGCTCTGGGCTTAATCCCCAACACACACACACACACACACACACACACACACACGATATAGCATAAATATATAGATTGGTGAAATAACAAAGTGAACATACAAGAATTATAACATTAACAAAATTTTCCTGGAAATGTATTCTAATTTCTACCTAACTCTTTTCTATCCCTCATTCAAAAGATTTAAAATTGAGTTTTAGTGGTATCCAGAAAAAAGAAGTATGATGGCCTTTTCTTATATTCTACTGACAAGGACAAGAGCACAAGATGACCAAACATATGCCCCACCAAAGGTACAGGCTTGGACACCGCAATTTCACATTTGGTTCTAGACTACTTTGTTATTAGAAAGTCGCCACCACAGACAATAAGTACAAGAGTGGACCAGGGCTGGAAAGATGGCTCAGCTGTTAAAAGCACATATTGTTCCTCAGAGGACTAGAGTTGGTTCCCAACACACAGATTGAACAGCTGACAACTGCCTATAACCATCTGGCTGACCAGCATGTTCCAGATGATCTGATGGCCCTCTGGCCTCCACAGGCACCTGCATTCATATGCACATACTGACACGCACACACACACACACACACACACACACACACACACACACACATCATTAAAAATAATAAAATAGGGGCTAGAGAGTTGGCTCAGTAGTTAAGAGCACTGACTGCTCTTGTAGAGGACCTGGGTTCAATTCCTAACACCCACATGGCAGTTAACAAGCATCTTAACTCCAGTCCAGGGGATGTGACATCCTCTTTTGACCTCCGCAGGCATTGCACAACATGGGTGCACTTACACACATGCAAGCAATACACTTATACACATAAAATAATAATAATAATAAATCTTTTAAAAAGACTAGTTTCCTTTTATATTCTCCCACAATTAACATGGAAGATTAAGAAATATTTATTAATAAATACCATTTAATGTAAAATTGTTCTATAGCATAAAAATTAAGCACTAGACTGTGGAGACAGCTCAGTAGGTAAAGTGGTTGTTGTACAAGCATGAGGACCAGGGTTTGATCTTCAGCACCCTAGGGGTGGCCATTTATAATCCCAGCACCCAAGGTACAGAGACAGGCAGATCAGGATCCCTAGAGCTTGCTGATCAGCCAGTCTAGCCAAATCAGTGAGCTCCAAGCTCATTGAGAGTCATTGCCTCAAAAAACCAGAGACAGCGTAATTGAGGAAAACCTCTGACATTGCTCTCCTGGCACACACACAAACACTAAGCCCTGTCACAAAGAAATTATCTGGGTGCTTTTTTCCCCTTTGTCTCTCATTCAGACTAAGGAACTTTATGTTCTATAGGTCCAAAGGCAAGGAAAAAAATTTTAAATGTCAACTGATAAGTCTTGTGAAACTTCTGTAAAACTTTGGTTTATATTGCAATGCAAAATGCTTACTAAAAATTACTTCCAGCAAGCTCTAGGGATCCTGATCTTCCTGTCCTTGGGTGCTGGGATTACAAATGTCCACCCCTAGGGTGCTGAAGATCAAACCCCAGTCCTCATGCTGGTACAACAAGCACTTTACCTACTGGGCTGTCTCCACAGTCTAGTGCTTAATTTTTATACTATAGAACAATTTTACATTAAATGGTATTTGTTAATAAATATTTCTTAATCTTCCATGTTAATTGTGGGAAAATATAAAAGGAAACTAGTCTTCTTTTTTAAAGATTTGGGGTGAATATCTGCTACCATAGTGGAGAACTCCATATTTTCCATTATTTTAAGAGAATCTCTCTGGGAAACCTGAAGCTTCCAAATTCCTTCCAGAGATTCCATGGACGGTTCTATGATCTGTGGTTAAAATTTCCACCAATTCGACACTAAAAAGTAAATCCAGGTTTGTGTCAATCACAATGCAACTTCAACATCTATACTATCATACAGAACCAATTATTGCTTGGGCCAGTGAGATGGATCAGCAGGTAAAAAGGTTTCCTGCCAAGCCTGACAACTTGTATTCAATCCCTGAACACATGGTGGAAGGAGAGCGTTTTCTTCTGACCTCCACATGCCATGACAGGCACTACCCCCCACCCACACATACATACAAAAATAAATAAATTAAATAAATAAATAAATAAATAAATAAATGCAAATGACTATTTCTTGAACAAGACCAAAGATCAAGGTTAAAAACAGATAAGCTTTCTAGAGCTAATAAAACAAAAATGTATAAAAAGTATACTTCTATGCTCAATTTAAAATTTTCAATTCTGGGTATTATATTTAGCCAACAAATGTTTGAGGAATGATTGAATGTGGCTGGCACTGTGGTTATTAAAAGAGGACAAAAAAGTAACACATCTTTAAGGAACAGTCACTGTAATGAGAGAGATGAGAGGTAAACAAACAATTTGCTAGTCCTGGGGGTGACTACCACTGCGATAAAGCTCACAGTACTCTGAGAACAATATGGATCTGAAAGAATTTTAGGAACTATTTATCCATGGTATCTGGGGAATCTAAGTTGAGTTTTGAAATCTAAGGGTCAGGCAAAGAAGAAAAGAAAGTAATTAGATAGGTGCAAAAGCATAAAAGAAAACATGATACATCTGAACAGCACAACGTGAACACAGAGGTCATTACGGAGGAGAAAGGTACAACTGCAAAGAACAGTAAGAACCAGGTTGTGGGAGACAGCATTCCATGCCAAGAAATCTGGGCTTCATCAAGTTCTAGGCAAGTAGGAGACACTGAAGGATTTAAAATAAAAGGTTGGCGTGAATTATAGGAAGCATGGCTACACACAAGAGATTGTAACTGAGAACAAAACCTGTGGTCCCACAGAGTATAATGGGTAAAGGTGCAGCCTCTGAAATCAGTATTGAATTTCAATCCTGGCTTAACCTTTCTACTACCCATTAGCTGTATAACCTTTTATGAGTTAATCTTTCTGAACTTCAATTTTTTATTATTTAAAATTGGAGGAATAAGCATAGTAATTATTTTTTTTTGTCTTTTTGAGACAGGGTCTTCCTGTAGCCCCAGCTATGTAGACCAGGCTGGCCTTGAACTCACAATGATCCACCTGCCTCTACCTCCCAAGTGCTGGGATTAAATGTGTATGCCACCATGCCCGGCTTTTAATTTTTTTTAACTTTTAAAAAAACTTTATTGAGAATTTCATACATGCATATAAGCTGTTTTGATCAAATCCACGCCCACTCCCTCCTCTCCAACACCTCCCATATCTCCCCAGCACTTTTTTCTGAGAATTTCATGTCTTCTTTCTTTCTTTTTTTTTCCTTTCTTTTTTTCTCTCTCTTTCTTTTTCCTTCCTTCCTTCCTTCCTTCCTTCCTTTTTTAGTGGGGCTTTCTGCTACTCTAATAGTCCCCCTTCTAAAGAGGTGACCCTAAATCTTTTAGGGATTAGATAAGAGCTCCTAAACACTTTTGACATTTTTGGCTTTGGAACAGAGTATGTTGCTAAGAGGCCCAAGGACATTTTGACTTTTAGCCAAGAAACTGGCTACTTTTCTTTGGGGTCTTTTTTGCCCTAACTGCCTCACCAATTCCTACCTCCTATTCTTATCACACCAACCTCTGAAGAGGTTACCCAAATTGCCAATAGGGAATCAGATGCAGTCCACGCTGAACAGGGATGCAGGGTGAGGCAATTGGGGGTACCCCTTCAGTGGGTCTATCTAAAAGACTCAAATTCTGCATAAGTAGTCCTTGGCTGGTGAATAGGGATGTGAAGGAGAAGTAAAGGCAAGAGTAGTTAGCATTACAAGTTCTAGACAGGGAACCAGAAAAAAGTCAGAACAGGGCAAATTTCAAATGTTCATATCAGAGTCCATTGGGATTTCTTTACAAAAGCTTTTAAAAGCATCCCTCTATTGGTTCCTCCTCATTAAATTAATTTTTAGAAGTAAATTTTAGAGGGGGCTGGAGAGATGACTCAATGATTAAGAACACTTGCTGTTCTTCCAGAGGACCCAGGTTCGATTTCCAGCACCCATGTGGTGGCTAACAACTGCCTGTAACTTCAGTTCCCAGGGATCTGACACCCTGTTCTGGCCCCTGTGGACAGTAGATTTATATACATGCAGGTGAAACACTCATTCAAAACAAAAACAAAAACAAAACGGGGCTGAAGAGATGGCTCAGTTGTTAAGAAGTGAGCTGTTTTTACAGAGGACCTGAGTTCAATTTCCAGTACCCACATGTTGGATAACAACCATCTGTAACTCCAGTTCCAGGGAATCTGACACCCTCTTCTGGCCTCTGTGGGCATTGCACACATGTGGTGCACTTACAACATGCAGGCAAAACACTCATACATACAAAATAAAAATAATAAATTAAAAAATATATATATATGTATATATATATTTTGTCTTTTTTGAGACAGGGTCTCCTTGTAGCCCCAGCTGTCCTGGAACTCACTATGTAGACCAGGCTGGCCTCGAACTCACAAAGATCTACCTGCCTTTGCCTCCCAAGTGCTGGGATTAAAGGCGTGTACCACTACGCCCAGCCCATAAATAAAATATATTTTTAAAGTAAATTCTAGAAGGGAAATGATAAGAAAATCTGAGAAATAAGAACAGACTAAAGTGGCCTCCTGTCTTAAGAGAGGTAGGCATAAATCCTCTTAACAACATGAGAATTAAAATAACTTTTTGTTAGTTTCTTATATTGCACTCAGTCTCCTTACCTTAGAGCTTGCGCTATCCCAAATAGCTAAACCAAAGTAGTCTTCTTCCAGGAGATTGAGGTGCTCACACACTCGTTTAAGCAAGTCTTGTCCCTTCGCATGTTTCTGCAAACATATTTTACATATTTGAGTTAAGGTTACATATTTGAGTTAAGGTTTCCTCTTATTTTTGTATTTATCACCATTTTTTTAAAGTTACTTTTCAATTTCCTTTTGCACCTTTGCTAACTAGGAAATTTTCAGATGCCTACACAATCTAAGTAAAAGAATATAATATATAAAAAATCCTATTCCTCAATTTGCTGGTATAGAGATACAATATATTATAGTACTTTGGAAATAGAATGCAAAGTAAAATCCAGCCTTTCCTCTATCTCTATACCTCCATCCAAAACATAACATACTCATAACCCAGGGTTTCATTATGTAGCCCAGGTTAGCCTCAAAATCATGATCTTCCTGCCTGAGGCTCTTAAGTGCTAGGACTATAGGCATGTACCACCAATCCAATTAAGCATCACATTCACATTCATATTCATTCTCTCTCTGTCTCTGTCTTTCTCTTGCTCTCACTCTTGCTCTCACTCTCTCACTTTCTTGCTCTCCTCTCTCCATTTTTTTTGGGGGGGTGCAATATTTCCTGAAGCATGTTATAGGCCACTGTCAGTCACCATGATCACCTGAATTACTGAATCAAGTTGTCAAAATACATGGCAACTGTACCTTTGGAAATCCTGTTCAAAATAAACAGCGAAGAGAATGAGCTCAACTCCAACACCCTGCAATACCTTTTAGAAAAATAGGAAATAGGAAAATAGGAAATAGTCTACATATACTACCTATTAGAGCAGTTTTTCAGTAATGTTAAAAGTCATTTTCTTTAACCTAGAAAGTCAAACTACTTCCAAATATAAGTATTTAAACTCTCATTTGCAGAGAAGAATGCTCTAATCTTTCTCTTGCTCTCACTCTTGCTCTCACTCTCTCACTTTCTTGCTCTCCTCTCTCCATTTTTTTTGGGGGGTGCAATATTTCCTGAAGCATGTTATAGGCCACTGTCAGTCACCATGATCACCTGAAAAAAAAAAATTCTAGCTCCTTTATTTACCAGCTAAACAAGTGAGCCATTTTGATTAACAAGAGTGTGCTCATCTGTAAAATAAAAACTTTTATACCTGTTTACTGAAAAAAAAGAAAGAAAAAAGAAACATGTTAATGCCTTCTGAGAAATATATACATAAATACTCCAAAAATTACAAATATCCCCCCCGCCCAGTTCTAGAGATTGAAGTCAGGGCTTATACATGTTAGGAATATGCTCTTTACTAGCCACACGGATCTTTTCAGTACATATATATGACACCTCCTCCTCTTAATGAGTTATTTTATACTACCATTAGTAATTTACATAATTGTTCATTCAGTGTTAACTCATTTATATTACATCATTTTTTTTTTTTTTTTTTTTTACTTCTTCTTTGTTTTCACTCTGAGGGACGATGGTTTGGGATTTCATATACAGGTCCCTAACCCTTTATAATTCCAAAATCCAGGAGTTCTAAAAATTAAAAGGTTTATCACTAAAGCTCATTTAAAGAAAAATCCTGACCTGAACTATAAAAACGTTGTTTATAATCTTCACTTATCCATCTTAAAACAAATCGTCATATACTTTGCCGCACAAATAAAATATTCAAATCAGGATAGTGGCACATGCCTACAATCCTAGTACTTGAGAGATGGAAGCAGGAGAATGAAGAGTCAAAGTCATTTAGGCTACATAACAAGCTCAAGACCAGCTTGGGCTCTATAAGACCCTATCGCCCCCTGCAAAAAAAACCTACAAAATAAAAAAAAAATAGAATTATATATATCATAATATTTTAGAATATTTATGGGTAGATAATATTTGTATTTGCACAAAATTCAATTCAATAATAAAAGTCAAGCATATGTGAATTACAGGTGCTATCAATAAAAGCTATTAGCCCTTAAAATAATTGTTCATTTATCAACCATATTATAATTGACAGCTATTATTCTAGTTTAAAAAACACAGTTAATAGATGTCTTAATTCATCCTAAATGAACAGAAAAAAGCTATAAAAACTGACATTTTTATTCAATCCTGATTCAATTACTGATTCTTTCGTAAACTATTAGAGAATTTTAAGAAATGGTATTATTTGATTTGCATTTCTATATTCTATCTCATAGAACTAAAGACACATTAGATAAACTCATGATTAAAAGGCTTAGATCTAGGGGGGACAGTAAAGCTATAGACAGTAACTTCTTTTTAAATTATTTATTTTATCTCTGTTGGGGACATGCGTGTGTATGCTATATGTGCATGTGAGTACCATGGTATGTCTGTGGAGGTCAGAGGACAACCTTGGGTGTCAATCCTGGCCTTCTAACCTTATTTGAAACAGGGTCTCTTGTTCTGCCACTGCCTGCACCAGGCTATCTGGCCACAGCCTTGGATGGATTCTATTTTCTCTTCCCCACCTCACTGTAGGAGCACTGGGATTACAAATGCTACTGTGCCCACCTTTATGTGGGTTCTGCGGATTCAAACTTAAGACCTCACGCTTGCATGAAAAGTGATTTTACCCACAAAGCCAGCTCCCCAGCCCAGTAATTTTTTCTTCAAACATAATTATAGGGACTCCTGGAGCTAGTATCTGAAATTCTGTCTATCTTGGGAAAGGTAGTCATAGAATGGTGCTCCATAAATAATAATTTTTTCTCTTTTTTTAAAATTTTTTGTTTTTTCTTTGTTTTTTGAGACAGGATCTCCCTGTAGCCACAGCTGGCCTGGAACTTGATATATAGACCAGGCTGACATTGATCTCAGAGAAATCTGTCTGCCTCTGACTCCTGAATGCTGGGATTAAAGGTGTGAGCCATCATGCCCGGCTATAAAGTTATCCTTTTTGAAACACAATTACTTTATTATAAAGTGCTTAAGTCACAAGATTCTAGCAAACAAAAACAATGGAGAAAAAAAACAAGACTCATTCTCATTCTTCCTATCACTTCATCTCTAAGAAAGTCATATTAACACTGCCATCCATAGAATCAGTCCTTAGTGTGGGTATTATCTTGGGCAACTACACATAAGGCAACTACAAGAGCTCTGACTCTGGAAATTAAAATGCACTCACCTCCACAACACATTCATAAACTGTGTCATCCAACAAAGAGACCTTGCAGTGCATGTTTCTGTGTCTTCTGACTGGTTTCTCGGAGGCTTCTAATTCTCTGTCTGCTTTTGATTCGGGATCTTCTTTTACTTCTGTTTTAGAGCACTCTTCAATTCCTTCTCCTTCCTTAGTTTCAGAACCTAGATCTTCTCTGTGTTCTTCCTGAGCTGGCTGTATATTCACCATATCACCAAGTCAGTAATAAAGATATTTCACAAAATAAGCTATATGTGCATTATCTATACATAATAAGTACTCTGATCAATAAAACTGCTAACAGAAGAAAAACAAAAATAAGTGGCATTAATATTAAAAAATTATTTTTCTATAAAAGGTATTATGATTTCCCTAAAGATCTATAGATTTTACTATTCTTTTTTTTTTTTTCAGGTAGAATCCCATCAAATCAGTAAGTAAAGGCTTCAAGTAAATTATGGGACGCCAACCTATTATTCTCGGCATATGTAATATATTTTCCCTAACATATAATGTTATCATTATATGATACTACTGAAGCTCATCAAAACTTTGCTGGCTCTATCCCATTGATCCTCAATTTTAGCAAGGTAGACTGGCGAACTGCAAAATAAAATATGATTTGTCACACTTTCATTTTGTTTGCTGTTTTTTTTTTTTTTTTTGTTTTTTTTTTTTTTTTGAGACAGGGTCTCCCTGTAACCCCAGCTGGCCTGGAACTCACTATGTAGACTAGGCTGACCTCAATCTCACAGAGATCCGCCTGCCTCTGCTGGCGATCTTTAACCCCAAGTGCTGGGGTTAAAGTTATGTGTCATCAGACCTGCCACAGACTTTAAAATTTATAAACAGCTAAAAGAAGTTCTTGGGACCCATGAATTTGTACTAAGTAAATATAGGTAGTAGGCTAAAAACTTTAACTACCAAATTAACCCCTTTCTATCATTGCTACACCCAAACAAGATTCAAAGAAGGGAGGGAAAGACTGAAATCTGGGCCTCCTAGAACAATCACTAAGTCATTCTAAAGTAATACAGGGACACAGGAGAATATTTTGCCACACATTTTCTTTTTCTAAATCTTTATTTATTTTTAATTTTATGTGTAAAAGTGTTGTGCCTGCATGTGTGTAAGTACGCCAGTGTTGTGCAGTGTCCATGGAGGACAGAAGAGGGCACTGGATTCCTTGGAACTGGAGTTACGGATGATTGTTAGCTACCATGTGGGTCCTAGGATTTGAACGCGGGTCTTCTACAAGAACAGCCTGCTCTTAACCACTGAGCAACCTCTCTAGCCCACCACACATTTTCTTACTGATTTTTTTTTTAAAGACAGGGACTGGCTAGCTTGGAATTTGTAGCTCTCCTGCTTTAGTTTGCTGAGTGCTGGGATTATAAACCACACTGGACAATTTCCTTGCTTTCAAAGCAATACATTTTCTTGAGAGTTTTTAAATTCTGCTAATTCTTTTCTTACAAAATAATACATGGTTGACATCTAGGAAAAAAGATTTAATGATTTGGCTGCTGCATTAGATTCAGGAGGTGATCTAAAGGCCTATCCTCATCCTTCATAACCATCACATACACAACCTCAGGGAGGCCTTCATATCTGTCCTATCCCACTGGAGTATTTCTTACAGCAGTACCATCTGTTGCTCCTTCTCCTTTTACATGGGTTCCAGGGACAGAACTCAGGTCATCAGGCTTGCAAAAGCTTTACTGTTTGAGCTATTTTTATAGTTTTTAACTTATGAAAGTCTATCTACCCTAGATCCTGTTTTACACAGTAGGTTTTCAGTAAGTATTTGCTTAATGAATGAATAAATAAACATTTTAAAACTTGTAGATGAAGCTGGGGAGATGGTTCAATCAGTAAAGTGCTTGCCTTGTAAGCATAAGGACCTATCCCTTCTCTGTAACTTATGTGCCATAGTTTGATTCCATAGCTTGCATTAATAACTATTATACTATATAGGGATGAATCTTGTTTGTTTTCTTTTTTAATTTTATTTATTATTTTTATGTGTATGTGTGTATTGCCTGCATGTAGGTAAGTGCACCTGTGTGGTGCAATGCCCATGGAGGACAGAAGAGGTTGTCGGATCCCCTGGAACTGGAATTATGCCATGTGGGTGCTGGGATTCAAACCTAGGTCTTCTGCAAGAACAGCCAGTGTTCTTAACGGCTGAGCCATCTCTCCAGCCCCTTGTTTGCTTTCTTGTATGTGTAAGAGCAGGTGCATATGTGCCATAGCATACATGTGGAAGTCAGAGGGCAACTTTCAGGAGTCAGTTCTCAACTTGTACCTCATCTGAGGCAGGATCTCTCTTGTTCCTGCACTGTGCACTCTAGGCTAACTGGCCCTGGCTCTAAGCTTCTGGGTGATTCTCCTATCTCCACCTCTCATCTTGATGTAGGAATTCTGGGATTAGACTCATGTTACCACACCCAGCTTTGTATGTGGGTTCTAGGGATCTGAATTCAGGTTGCCAGGCTTGAAAAGCAAGCATTTTTACCCAGTGAGCCATCTCCCTGGCCCTGAATATTGTTTTCAATATTATTTCACTAACAGCAAGTACGTGATTATGACTTCTTCCTAAAGTTTGCCCTTGACACTCTGAATATACAAGCAATATTTCTAGAAATACATGTAATATTTTTACAAAAGTCTAATAAAACTATATAGCCCTTTAGACCTTTCATAGAAACACACACAGAACTTTACTTTAACAATCCGGATTACTGTTCACATACTTCAGCAATAAGATTTTGAAAATAACTCTTATTTTGCAAAAAGTAAGGCTGAAATCAAAAAAGATTCTTAGAAAACAGTTCGAGTTACAATACTAGTATTTTCACTTTTTTTAGGCAAAAGAACAACTCATGTTTAACTATACAAGTTAAGGAAAGTGAAGGCCCTATATGAATGAATATCACAGAAGGGGCTGGCAAGTTGGCTCAGCAGGAAAAGACACCTGCTACCAGGCCTCATACTTGAGTTCCATCCCTGGGCCCTACATGGTAGAAAGAGAGAACAGAGTCCCACAAGTTGTCCTTTGATCTCCACAAGTACACCATGGTACACATGTATACACACACACACACACACACACACACACACAAACAAATGTAATAAAATTTTTAAATATTACACAAGCGATAACGTTAGACTTTCTTATCCACATCTTGCATTCTGCAGTAATATGTTCTTGTTGGAGAAGATAACCAAAATAAGGCAGGCGTAGCTCAAATCTATCACATATACCCTTGGATGGCTTGAACATATCACACAGATTGTAATGAAGATTTCCATAAAAGGACCACATTGACTGATAACTATTCCATTCCTAATTCTATGAAAATGAACTCTAAACCACCTCACTTATTTTTTGCTCTCATTAAAACTCAAATTTGTTCTATTATAACAGCAAGATGCTATACAGGCTGAAAAAATTCATTTGGTACTTTTCTTTCATTTTCTTTTCTTTGACTTAATGGAATATGTTTTTTTTAAGTCAGGTTGCCACTAACTACATTAATTTCTTTAGAGCAGAAACTCCGAAGCTTTGTGTTATTTGTCATTATCAAAGCCTAAGTCAACCAGCTCATAAGATATAAACCCAAATGTTCTTCATTGAAAAAAGTATGTAATCTGTCTTCATTATCTCCCACCCCACCCCACCCCCGCAGCACAGTCACACGTTCTTACCTGTGTTTCTACACTGCTTAATGAGTGAAGATCCAAGGACGGGTCTGTTTTGAGCTCAGGTTCAGGAGCTGCAATGGGGGCCTTTAAAATGATCTCTTCATCAAGACCAGTCCCAAATAATATCTCTTTCTGACCTTCACCTTTTTCTTTATCTGGCTCTACTTCTTTGCCTTCTTCTTCAGAGACCTGAGGTCTGGGCCTTTTGAGAAACGAGGAGAGTAGTCGTGACAGGCCTCTGCTTTCTGCCGTCCGTTCCTTGTTCCTGGTCAAGTCTTCATGTGTTGGAGTGTCCCCATTGGATGCTTTCAGCTTCTGCTCACACTGATGATCTCCCTCAGCTGCCGCTTGGGAAGACTCTTCCAACTGAGTTTCTTGTTGGCCTGAGTTTGTGGCTCCCTCACCTTCTTCCTTCTGTTGTTGGTGTTGAGAATTCTCAGCCTCAACCACTAAACTCTTCTCTGTTGTCATGATGTTTCTATTAAAAAGAAGATGAAAAGGGAGAACTATCATAAGCAAACACATTGCTGTAGCCCAAACCCCTTAAATCCCAAAAGGCTAATATATTTAAATTTAATCACCAACAAACAGAACTCCAATCCATTGAACATAAGACCTTGCATTAAAGCACAAAAATATTTTACCTGTATATCCTGAATAAATTATTAATGCCTTGAGTCACTAAAGATATGCACATTGAAAGATTAACTTAATATTCACTGAGGCCATCTAATGAAATACACCATAATTAAATTCAGTGCTCAGGACTCTATACAACAAATACAGCTTTATCCTTCCTAAAACAGAACCTTATTTGAATACTGTCCTTTCAGGGTATCAATCTGAAGATGCAAGATTTGCAGGAATTACTCTCTGCAAAGTTCTTCACACCATAAGAGATGATTAAACTAGAAAGTTCCCCAAGTCTTTTTGGCTTTCTTCCTCATATTTCTTAGGATGAAAAGACTTCACTAGGAACAGCAAATGCAGAATTCTGATCATTTGCTCTCAGAGTTGACCATAGCAAAGGCAAGAATGCAGTCAAAATAATCATAACAAAACATCCTTAGGTTTCAAAATACCAAATTATATCCCATTTTAAACTCTCTGAAACAATTTTTCTTCTGAGAAATACAATTTTGGAAACAGCATTTTTAAAGTAGGAAGTGAAACCATTACACTACAGAAAACAGAAATGCCATAGACAGGAGGATTTTAGAAAGCAAATATTGATTTGCTTTAGGGGAGAAGGCAGGCTACAAACCTCACATATTTCAAACTTGGTTTCTAACCTTTTTATGTCAAAATTCTGGCATTACTACTCAAGCCTTACAACAAGAGTCAAAAAGCTTTGTCTCTCCTAATTTATTAAAGAATAACCAACACACATAGAGACTTTTAAAACACTGAGCAATGAAGTTGACTTATGATCTGACACTGATTCACAACTACCAAAAAGCACTCCCTATACAGGACTCAAAAAACAGCATGCGGGACTGAAGAGATGGCTCAGCAGTTAAGAGCACTGGCTGCTCTTGCAGACACAGGTTCAATTCCCAGACCGCACATGGTAGCTACCAACCAAACATACTCCCTCTAGTTCCAGGAAATCTGGCGCCCTCTTCTGACCTCTATGGGCATTACATGACATGAGTATATTTACATACATGCAGGCAGTACACTCATATACAAAAAAATAAAAATAATAAAAAATATTTTTAAAAAGCAGCATGCATACTGTAGCACACCTCCATACTTAGACTAAATCATTTAATTTGGACATTGACTGAATAAATGAACTGTATTTAGCTCTTTCCACAAACCCTTGCTGCTCACCTCATGATGTTCTTTCCTGGCTATCTAAAGGCTTGTCTCATCATTACTGTCTCAGCTCATGTGTCATGTTCCTTAGAGTGGTTCCCCCCAGACACTCCATCTAAAGCAGTGGCCCTCATTCCCACAGATAATACAGTCCCCAGCCCTACTACACTTATGATCTGTAATTACCTTGCTAATTTGTTTACTGGTTTATTTGTGTTTTGTCCTTCTTCCATACCTCTCTCCATAACTAAAATATGTTTCCCTGAGGACAAAGTCCTTGAATGTTTTTTAAGATTTATTTTATTTTTATTTCTGTGTCTGTGTGTATGCACACATGTGCACAGAGGTCAGAAGAGGGTGTTAGATCTCCTGGAAATGGAGTTCCAGGTGGTTGTTAGCCACCCAGTGTAAGTGCTGGGAACTGAACTCAAGTACTCTTCAACAGCAAGTACTCTTAACTGCTGAGTCATCTTTCCTAACCCTTGAGAGACATTTTTTTTTCCCCTTGGTCTTTTTGAGACAGGGTCTCCCTGTAGCCCCAGCTGGCCTGGAACTCACTATGTAGACCAGGCTGGCCTTGAACTCAAAGAGATCTGCCTGCCTCTGCCTCCCGAGTGCTGGGATTAAAGGTGTGCGCCACCACGCCAGGCGAGAGGCTTCTTTTACCACTATATACCCAATGCCTAGAACAGCACCTAGAATATAACAGGTATTAATAAAAGTGTGTGTGTGTACATGTGATGTATGTGTGGGTGTGTGTATATGTGTGTGCAGGCATACATAGAGGTCAGAGGTTAACTTTGGGTGGTTCCCTCAGTCACCTTCTACATTTTTAAAAATTTTATTTATTATTTTTATTTTTTGTGTATGCATGTATTGCCTGCATGTAGGTAAGTGTACCCGTGTCGTGCAATGCTTGCAGAGGTCAAGAGAGGCTGTCAGATCCCCTGGGACTGGAGTTATAGACAGTTGTTAGCTGCCATGTGGGTGCTGAGATTCGAACCCAGGTCTTCTGTAAGACAACCAGTGTTCTTAATCACTGAGTCATCTCTCCAGCCCGTCCACTTTATTTTTTTCAGACAAGGTCTCTCACTGAACCCAGAGCTCACTGAATTGGCTGTACTGACTGGCCACTGAGTGCTACAGATCTGTCTATCTGTCTCCCCAGTACTGGAGATTACAGACATGTGCCAGTGTACCCAGCTTCCTACGTGGGTGCTGGGGATCCAAACTCAGATCCTCATGCTTGTGGGACAGCTGGCACTTTACAGACTGAGCCATCTCCCCAGCCCCTTAATAAATGTTGTGCTTCTTAAAAAAAAAAATTTATGGGATGGAAAGATGGCTCAGCAGTTAAGAGCACTGACTGCTCTTGCAGAGGACCCAGGTTCGATTCCCAGTACCCACATGGTAGCTATGAACTGTCCTTAACTCCAGTTCCTTAACTCCAGTTCCAGGGAATCCGAAGCCCTCTTCTGACCTCCACAGCATTGCATGACATGGGTGCACTCACATACATGCAGGCAATATACTCATACACATAAAATAAAAATAATAAAATATATTAAAAAATCCAAAAATAAATTAATAAAATAAAAGTTAAACCTAGAATAACTGCATACACATGGAACAAAGCAGTGAAAAGTGAAAGAAAAGAATGTGTATGGGGCACTGTTTTCTGCTCCAGGCCCTTGTTAGAGGTCTTATCTGTATTATCTCAAGTCTTTCAACAACCCTGCAAAGGAAAAGAAATCATCTGATCTTATAATTGAGGAATTCAAATTCAAGAAGCATCCTGAACATGCCCTATCTCATCTGATCTGGGATGTTAGGCTGCATCAGGACTGGTTAATTACCTGGATGGGAAGGAGCAACTCGCCCAAGGCAACACTGTTGGCAGATGACAACCCACTATAAACAGTGTTGAAATAAGTGGAGGCAGATTAATAAAAAAGATAAAAAATAAAAGTCTTTTTAAGGGTTCTCACTCGAATCTACTTTTTTTGTTGTTTTTTTTTGGGGGGGGGTCTTTTTGAGACAGGGTCTCCCTGTAGCCCCAGCTGTCCTAGAACTCACTATGTAGACCAGGCTGGCCTTGAAGTCACAGAGACCCACCTGCTTCTGCCTCCCAAGTGCTGGGGTTAAAGGCATGTGCCACCACGCCCGGCCCTGTTGTACTTTTGAGATGTTTCCCTGTAGCCCCAGCTGGCCTGGAACTCACTATGTAGACCAGGCTGGCCTCAAACTCACAGAGATCCACCTGCGTCTGCCTCCCAAGTGCTGGAATTAAAGACGTGCGCCACTACACCCGGTTTACTTGTTTCTTTTTTAAAATCATATTTATTTATTTTTATTTTATGTGTATGAGTGTTTTGCCTGACTGTGTTATGCAACACCCTCAGAGGACAGAAGAGAGCACTGGATCCCCAGAATTGGAGTTACAGACGGTTGTTAGCCACCATGTGGGTTCTGGGAGCTGAACCCAGGTCCTCTGCAAGAGCAATCAGTGCTCTTAACCACTGAGCCATCTCTCCAGCCCCACTACTCTTTTTGGGGGGGAGTTCTTTTTGAGACAGGGTCTCTCTGTAGCCCCAGCTGTCCTGGAACTATGTAGACCAGCCTGACCTTGAACTCACAGAGCTCCACCTGAGGTGTACACCACCACACCCTATTTTTAAACATTAAAAATATTTTAAGAAGGGGCTGGAGAGAGATGGCTCATCGGTTAAGAACACTGAATGTTCTTGCAGAAGACTGGGGTTTGAATCCCAGCACCCACATGGCAGCTAACAACTGTCCATAACTCCAGTTCCAGGGGATCTGACAGTCTGTTCTGTCCTCTGCGGGCATTGCATGACCCGGGTGCACTTATCTACATGCAGGCAATACATGCATACACATAAAATAAAAAT